ATTTGAGTTTCTTAGTTTGGTACGTATGCTTTGGAGTTTACTTCCTATTTATGGACAGTGGAACACCTTTTCTGCCTTTTTCGGTTATGGAGCCAGACTTTGTTATCTTCCTTGAAACATCTTTCTGTAGTTAGGTATCGTATCGTTTCTTCATCCTACCGTTGGAGATTTGAGAATGCGAGAGAATCAACTTATGCATATTATCTAATTTTCTTTGTACCTGGATCATCAAATGCTCTTTACCGGCTATATCTATCTGGTCAAGGTCGGTATCCAAACTCAAGGTTAGTCTCATCTCACGTCCAAACAGCACTTTGCTGGAGTTTTTATCGGGCTAAACCAGTGAACTATGTATTAAACTGGAAGAAGAAAGCCTATCAACAAAATCAAGTCGCATAGCGAGGTGATATTTGACACTGTGGCGCCCACATGTGCGTATCGAAAGGCACTAAAAAGGAACATCAAAATTAAATTTAACACTTATTACATTTAACCACGACACCTTTTAATTTAAGAAAATCACTTAAAAATATTTTTTGATTAATACGCAGCTGAAACAAATGTTCTAATAATAATAATTATTAAAATAGCGCGTTATTAATAAAACATAATATAATTTATCGTAGTACGCCCGTGGGAAACGTGACGTAGAATGCTCGAAACTGACAGTCTAGCGTCTAAATTGTCATGCGCACTGACCATTTTTTTCACTTATGTCGGCTTAGAAATAAGGAGTAGGGTTTACGTCATATAGCTATCCAGTTTAATATCAAAGTCGGTGGGCTAAACGGAGTGAATTTCATGGTGGCGGAGTTCATTAACAAATGTTTGGGCAGCCAAACATTCCATCATATTTTCTGGAGCTGATGTGAAAGCAAAGCGTAGCAACCGGTAATACCTATTTTGAAGGAGTTTATTGATGAAAGTTCAAATTTCTTTGACTCAAATTATATTTGTACTACTGATTTACCAGTATTTTTGGTTGTAATAGTTTAATAACCTTTTTTTATATACAGCTAGGGTGTAAAAAGCGTTATACAAAATTTAATATTTTTGTTGTAATTACAATATTTTTTAAATAAATTCTTAACATTTTAATTTTATAAAATTAGTAAATTTCATTTTATTGATTTTAGTAGCCTTACTTTTTAATGCAATATATTGTTGATATCTATGCTTAGCAGCATTTTACATTTTTTTAATGCATCCTTTGTTTATATTAAATTTATTGTACTTTTGTGCATTTATTTAGATGTTCTGGAATAAATATTCAGTTTCCATGTACATAAACTTCTATATATTTGGAAAACTCTCGTAATAAAAAATATTAATAATAATAATGATTTAAACTCATAACTCTATAGATATTGACTTTAATATACTTATATATTCATCTAAATTATTGGTTTTCGTTATTCTAGAAGCCCCAGTGGCTATCACTGACCTTTACAATAAAATTGTTTATGTATGTTACGTAATGTCTTTGTATGTTACATACGGACTGAGATATTTTTCCTGGAGCTATAATATTAAATTCTGATCCTGAAATATTTTCTGAATGTTTCTGAATCCATGGGGGACGTACCTTTTTAATTAATTCTATCGATCATGCTTTTGGTTGATTTTGCGGATATATTGGACAAAGTTGCTATAACTGGACAACACTTTTATAAAAAAAATATTTAAAATTTTATCAGTTACCTACGTAATACAAAATTTCTAGATGGTGCAATGGAAAAATCTGAGTATTTGAAATATTTATCACACTCTTCAAATTTTTAATTAACGATCCATTGTCACAGTAAAAAAATGAAAATCGTTAGAATGTATATGTGCCAGGACAAGGTAGTACTTACAACATTTTATGAATAAATTATTATGAATTCAATGAAGTTCAGCTTCCAGAAAGTATCTCTACAAGCAATAATATTCAAAACGTTTGTGGCCCTATCAGTGTAGACAATTAAAATAATAAATTAGATAATAAAGAAAAAACAAGCTCAAGTATTCAAGCTAGGATAGGTTCGAGTGTGGTCAAAATTCAAGATGTTCTGAATCAACTATTATCTGCTCCAAAAGCGGAAGTAATGAGGAGTAAGAAAAGAAAATCTGCTTGGTATCAGGATGTCCTTACAGATAGTCCATACCTTGACAGCCTACAAGAAGTAGAAAGTCAAAAAGGGAGAAACAATGAAAAATTAAGAGAAATACTGTAAAACAAAAATTAATAGCAGATGAAAGTGACGAAAAAGAAAATATGTTTGGAAAAAATGACGAGGACGACAGCGCATGTAAAATAATGCTCTCCCTAATTCACCTCCTTACGAGTGAATTTTAACCCCAAAAGCTGAGCTTGTGCGGGGAAAAGGATGGCTATTATTATTATTTGCCGTGGCGCTCCGAGACGACTTAAAGATGATTGACTTACAGGTGAGGAAAACCCGGAAAACCCCACCCAGAGAAAGCTGGCTACAATATCAGTTATGGATATACATGTAGATTGTGCAGGTGACAATAAGAAGACCAAAATGTTCAAATGTGAACTATGTATGGACTAAATTGAGTTTAAGAAAGCAATTTAATTAATTTTTTGTTATTTTTATTTTTTTAAGTCATCTTGCCCCTTTCCCTGTGGGCAAGATGGTTTTTGTAAGATTTTGATTTTTTCTAATTTGTAATAAAAGTGTTTTGAAAATTATATTTTATTTTATAGGTAATATATACTTCACTCCTACGAATTGCCAGACTCGACTACGTCTCGCCTGGCAAGCTTTTCGTAGTCGCTCGAAATACTCAACTTTTCGTCCTTGTAACGTAAACTACTATTTCGTGCGATATGGCCATTATATTAAAGAGTAATTGCAAGTTCACTTATGGTCAGTCACTATTAGCGCCGCTATTATTTTGACATCTGAGCATGCGCAGATCGTTTATGTTCTAGAACTGACTTTATTAAAGATTGTGCCTGTCCTTAATTGTGGATGTTTAAAGGATAGCAGATGTATACTATGGTTATAAGTGTGGCAACGTCACATTAGACATAGTTGACAGTGAGCTGTCAGTTGTCAATAGTTCGATCCAGCAGTGGGATTCTCACACTGATCTGTAATATAGATCAGTGGATTCTCATGTTTTGTACTCGAGACGTGTTGTAACGAGAAAGATTTTGCGATTCCTATCTCGGATATCGAGAAGGGATATATATCGATCTTAAATGTCAGTGTCACTCGCTTCATCTTTAGGTGCCGAGAATCGATTTTTAACCTGAAATCTTGTAATTTTTGTGTCAATAATATCAATAGATAATTATTTAATTTTCGTTTTTATAAAATAATATGAGGAGTATGAAAAAATGTTTCCTCCCAAGATGTGATAATGATTTACATTTATTATTAAATATATTTATTAGTGTTGCCAAAAATATGAAAAGAAGGAAGTTATTATTATTACACAGAAAAGCTTCAAGCAACAGCTAAATTATTTTAAGGTTTGTATAGTATCTATACTCTTTATTAAAATGAAAATGTTTTATTGTAATTTATTAGACTTCAATTATCTACCATTGTAGTTACGATGTTTTTTCTTTTTTTTTTAGATACCCGATGATTTTGAAAACTGTTCGTTTTTTAAATGATGGATAAACCTTTACATATAAATGGGTAGTACCACACAAATGTCTGCAAAGTTCTTGTTTCTAAAAAGTTGACTGGAAAATAACCTACTAGAGGCGTTTTTATCTCTATTTAATTAAAATACACCGTATCTTTAAGATGCAGTAGTAATTTGTGACAATGCCCCCTACAGGAAATTTAAAATGGGCCTACTATAAGTTCGAAGGCGTATAACCTAAAACCCTCCTTCGGAACCTCCTGAAAGTTTTGAAGATAGGTAGTAAAGTTTTGTCTGGATCAGAAGAAACATCTTTAATATTTGATTCAGAGGGATTTAATAATAATGAGCAGGTTATTCAAGACCATTGAACTCTCAAAATAAATGAAAATAAACTGAAGGTATATTTAGGAGTGTCCAACAGTGTTTCTAAAATCCTCAATCATATTTATGAGAAGGAAAGTATAGCTTACATAAACCTTTTACATTTCTGTGTAAATTAAAAGAACTCATTTTGTAAGACTAAATACTTAATAATTTAATAAACGGTTTTTTTTTAATGAATTTATCACATTATTTCAGGTACAAACAAAAATGTAAAATCTATGAAAATTTTATTTATTAACCTATTATTAAACAATAAATGTACCTGAATAAGATAAACGAAGTAACAAACACTTTATTTACAAATAATAAAAAATATGTACAAGCCCTAACAATAATGTACTTGAACAAATTAAACGTTTCTCTAAAAATTCATTCTCAAATTCAACTTGTTATCTACCTCAGCATTATTTACTTCAAATGTGGGAGAAACAGTGCAAAATACTTTATGGATTATTATTTTTCGAAATTAAACTTATAATACCATTAACAAAATTTCTACTGGCCGGGACAAACAGTAGATATAGAAAAGCATATAAAAAGCTGTAAAGTATGTGAACAATTTTCTCGGAAAAATCCTAGAGAAAGGCTTATGCCTTATCCATTGCCTAGCAGACCTTGGGAACGTATTGGAAGTGACATATTCACATATGGTAATAAAAGCTAAGTAATTATGTTTGATGCATATTTAAACTGGCTAGAGATACTACCAATCACTGATAAAAGTGCCAACTCGGTAATAAAACAAATTAAACCTGTGTTTTCAAGATTCGGTCCCTCAGAAGTTATGATATGTGATAATGTTCCTTTCAGTAGTTAATGTTTTAAACAATTTTCAAGTGACTAGAAATTTAGTCTTGCATTTAGAAGCCCAAATTTTCTGCGTTCCAATGGATTGGCGGAAAAAGCTGTATCAATTTAAAAAAAATCTATTAAACGAAGCATTAGAAGCTGGAAAAGATATTTTAACATCCTTATTAAATTATAGAAACTCACCGTTAAAAGGTATGGATTATTCCCCCTCGCAGTTACTTAATAGTAGAATATACAAAACTAAACTTCCTACATCAAATGAGTTATTACAGCCCCAATTGTGTAAAGATGTAAGAGAAAGGTTAGAGGCAAAACGTTCATTGAATTTAAAATATGATAAAACTTGGGACTCTAGTAAGATCCTTAAAAGCAATGTTGCTCCTAGGTCATACATTGTTCAAAATAGTCACAATAATGTTGTCAGAAGAAACATGTATGATATAAAGCCTTCTAAAAATAAATTTTCAACAAAAACTGACCTAAGTAACGATATTGTTGTAATATCAGCTGAACCTATACCTAACAATACAACGTCAGAACTACAGTCGGATAGTCATAGCAAAGTAACTATGTCAGATTCTCAACCAGTTGAACCTGAACTTTCTGCCTCTAGCCCACCACCTCATCAATAAAAAAATAAGTATGTTCTGACTACACGTTCAGGCCGTGTAGTTAATAAACCTATGAAACTTAACTTGTAAGGGAAAAGATGTATAATATGGTTATAAGTACGGCAACGTCATATTAGCCATAGTGGACAGTGAACTGTCAGTTGTCAGTAGTTCGATCCAGTATTGAAATTCTCATCTTTTAATTCGGCACGTGTTGAGACGACTATCTTCGTTCCACAGAATTCGATTCGTATGTGATGTCTCTCTCTATTCAATACGTTACGTGTTGAGTACGCAAATAAGAATCCCTGTCCAGGTTGTATGTTTATAAATACTTAAAATACACACTAGTGCCTTATTTAAAAGCTTGCTGGTATAGATTTTACAGCAGATAGTGACGACTTTATAGCTTTCGGGTGCGCTCGCCGACATTCGTGTCAGAAATTTTTTAATATTAAATATTATTTAATTTCATTGTAATACTTGTATAACCTTCTAAAATGGTAATTTTTATTGCCTCTTCCATATTATGTACTATAATATACAATAAAAAAGATAAACTGTAATTTAAAATTTTTAAAACGAGGTTAGAATTATGTATAAGGATAAGGACTCTAATGTCAAAACTTCAGGTTTGCAATGATCTTATTTATTTATTTGCCTATAATTACGTTGGCACTATTAGTGACTGACGTTATAGAAATTTGCAAATCTGATGTGTTGTTAGAGCTAATTATTAACATTATATTTTTAAAAGTAGCTCTAAAGATATTTTACGAAAAAAATTATCTCTATAAGTATTATACAGAGTGGAACGAACAAAAGTCATATTATTATAATTATAGCTGAACTAACTTTATGGATTTTTAAATGACGCATTTTTTGTTGCAAACTCACATAAATTTAATTGATTTCTTAAAAAAAAAAAATTAATTTAAATTATCACGCTACCCAAGCGTATCTAAATGTATTTAAAAATTCAGTTAACGTACCTCAGCGCCCATTAGAAATTTTTTTATCTCTAAGGAAGTTTTATTTCTAAAAATTGTATAAAGGAATTAAGACGGACAAGTTTGGAATTTATAACCAGATACGGTCTTTAAATTTATCCGTTGTTATTCAAAACAAAGCAAAGTACGAGAAAACAGCTGGAAAAGTTTTAATTTAAATACGGATGCGGCTACGAGTTCGTCCATTTTAATATACAGGTTAATTGGAAAATATTTGCCGTAAATTAGCATGCAGAAATTATATAACTTGTTGATATTGAATCATATTTTTTTTAATAGCAATTTATATGACTACAAAATATGAAAAAGTAAAAAAGAAATAGGCTTCATTAAAAAAACGAATAATTTAAATTTATGACTGAAAACTATTTACAGAAAGAGAAAAATACTAATATCAATTAATTGTACCATGGAAAAATGGCCAACCAATCAACAGAAAAAACTTGTAAATTAGTGAACAAAGATGATAACAACACACTACACTAAAATCATGGTATTTTATTTCAAATTAATACAGGGTGTTTGATAAGTATGGTACATAACTTCAGGAGCGTATTCTGGAGCTAAAATAAAGGTATTTTTGTCATTTTTGTCATTTTTGTCTCAAAAATGCTTCGTTACGGAAATACAGAGTTTGAAAGTTTCATAAAAAAAATACTATTTTTTAAATATTTCCAAAACCACTTGAGATATTTTTACAGCTTTTGAGAGTTAGCAACGTTGCGTGTTTTACTATAAACACAGTGGCTTTCGGACAGCGGACAAGGTAATAGGTGAAAAATATGGAAGGAAAAACGTGTTACGCTGCTGTCCTTTTGCAATATTTAGTTTTTTGATTGTTCGATTTGGAAGATAAAAGGTCCCTTGACTTTTTTCATAAATAATTACAGAGCCATTTTTATTTTTTTTTATTATTTAACTACAAATAACAATTACTTATAACAAAGAATCAAAGCAAATATTGAAAATGGCCACCTTCTGATAAAACGCACGATTCCAATCTTCTTCTCATTGATTGTCTTACTCTTTCAAAAACTCCTGGAGTATTTCTTATGGTATTACAACCTTGAATTATTCGATTTCTTAAATCATTTTTATTTAATACAGGTGTCTCATACACGAGTGATTTAAGGTGACCCCATAAATAGAAGTCCAAGGAATTAAGATCGGTACTGCAAAGTGGCCAAGCTTGAGGACCTCCTCGTCCAATCCAGCGATTAGGAAAAGTGTTGTCGAGGTATTGGCGAGCAAGAAGACTTAAATGGGCTGGTGCACCATCGTGCACAAATCATAAATCTCCTCTTACTTGCAGAGGGATTTCTTTTAACAGACCATTTAGTTCTTCGTTTAAAAACTGAGTATACTGTAACATTTTAAAAGTCTAATTATAAAATGTTATTTTAAATGTGTGCCATCCGGTATAATTTAATTATCGCCAACACACAATATTCTGAAGAAAGGGAAATTTCTTGAAGTGGGAGTGCCACTAACCAAACTATCTCAAATTAGATTCATAAATTTCATTTTATCGTTACCTTTCAATTGTTTTGGTGGTATATCGGCTGTTCAAGTGGTAAGCAAAAAAAAAGTATATTATGTCTTTATTAAACATCTCAGTAGAAATATTATTCAAACCTTTTGTTAATTATTAGTCTTTTTAAATAGTAAAGTTAAATATATTTTTATGATTCATTCTGGTTGCTAGAACGGCACAATATGTATAGTCACTAGTTTTTATTATCTGATTGGTTCATTTTTTTTAAAAAAGTAGATGTTTCAAATTTATATATCGTACAGAACCACGTGAAAAACAAAATCTATTTTTGTCTAGCAAACGAATAGAATCAGCTGTAAGCCATAAGCTGTAAGCCATAAGCTGTAAGCCATAAGCTGTAAGCCATAAGCCGTAAGCCATAAGCCGTAAGCCATATGACATAAGCCATAAGACATAAAAAACCAGCCATATCGTCACAAGCCGTAAATCTACACAACAGCTGTAATCAGAACGTTGGTTTTCGAGGATCTTATAAAAACTCGTTGATTTGGACAAGCGACAGCTGTATTTCGAAGGCGTTGGTTTCCGAAGGAAGAAATCTCGACTACCTATGGCTAATTAAGGATGGTTAGCTAACAATGTAAAAAGTGGTAAATACTAGTGACTAGTTATTTATGTACGAATCACAATTTGATACTGGTTTACTGTAAATAATTGTTTTCGAAAAGATTTCTTTTTTTTAATAAAATCATTGATTTTTATAAGTATATATGTTGAATCTTATTTTTTAAAGGTCACAAAAATTCTCTTTCATCCACTAAATTCTGTATAATTTTTATTAACTTCTTTTAATTGATAAAGCTAGAATTTATAATTCTCACTAGCTTTTAAAAATAAAAAAGAGAATTATTGGTGCCCAACATTTCCTAGAAAGATTACTACCCTTAAAATTGTCTATTTGAAAAGCCGAATTCACGACAGAGAAAAAGAAGTGCTCATTTATTTTTGTTTAATTTTTAAAGGTAAGTAACGTTTGATAATAAATTTCACTGAGCTAGTAAAAATCTCTATAAGTGTTTTAAAATTAACATTTATCAAAAAGGTAACAAATAATAATGCAAATTGTAGCCTAACGGGTCAAGGGTATATTGCAATACGAATCACCATTCAGTCGAGGGGGTAAAAAGTACGGTCCAATAAGATGGTCATTAATAATCCTTATCCATACATTTAGTGAAAATGTTTGCTGAAAGTGGCCTTCTCTTATTGCATGAGGATTCTCCTCAGCCCATAAATGTTCATTATGAAAATGAATAATTGCTTCTCGCGAAAAAGTTGCCCCATCAGTAAATAAAATTAGGGTAAAAAAATTGTAGATATGAGCAACTTTATGGAGTAACTACCTACTAAAATTTAGCCTTGGCTGAAAGTCGCGAGGCAGCAGAGCTTGTACTCGTTGTATGTGGTATGGGTAAAGCAGAAAAACATTTAAAACTCTCCAAACAGTATTTGCACTTACTTGAAGCTGTTGTACAATCTTCTTGGTACTAGTTGAAGGATTTTCTTCTATTTCTTGTAGTATAGCTTCTTCTAGCTCAGGCGTTGTTACTGTTCGTGGTCTACCAGGAATTACCCGATTATGCTCAAAACTACCGGTTTTACTCAATCTGGCATGTATATTTCTAAATGTTTTAGCACATGGCGTTACCCTATTCCGATAACGTTGCTGATAAATTCTTCTAGCTTCTGCTGAATTCTCATTTACTAAGCCATAAATGAAATGCATTTGAGCCATTTCAACGTTAGTAAAGTTATTCATTTTAATGTCTGACATACAAATAAATAAACAATTGGTGAAGTAAAATGTCAAACAAGTACTTATCTGGGAAAAATTGAAGATAACTTTTTTGTTGTACATTGTTCAAAGAGATTAAAAATAATAAAAAAAAGAATGAAAAATTTTACTGTCTTCGTTGCTTTTTCTTCCAAATTAAACATTAAAAACAGAACAGTGGCGTAACACGTTTTTCCTTCCATATTTTTCAGCGATTAGTTTGATTAAAATATCTTAAGTGGTTTTGGAAATATTTAAAAAATTGTATTTTTTTTTATGAAACTTTCACACCCTGTATTTCCGTAACGAATCATTTTTGAGATATAGTGTATATAACAAAAATACCTTAATTTTAGCTCCAGAACACCCTGTATATTATTCCCAGTCCTACAAAGCCGTAGCCAGAACCAGTTTATAAATAGGGCATCTAAAATTTAAAATACGGCACAATAATATAGGTGTCTCGACGATATGGGGTAGTTAAAGACGTAGGTGAAGAGCGGATCGAAAATAATTTTTCCAGAAAGTGATTTGCAAAATAAGGTTGCATGTCACGTTATATCTAACATTAAATAAATAAATGAACTATACAGGTTTTCAAATAAATTTATAAAGATTCAAAATAGATAAAACTAATAGAAAAATAGAACATATTAAAAATATTTAATATAGTTGAAGCCTT